AGTTGGTTAACCACGTTAGTTTTATATGATTGTTTAAATACTCATGTTAAATCATAAATAAAATAACACCAATTTCTATAATTTTCTCATTTTCTCTATATCTCAATTGCTCATCATTATTTTATCATTGGGTTTTTCTCGAACAATATAGACTAAAACTATCATATCTATAACTATATCTGTTATGTTATGAATTAGACCTAAAATCAACTAAATGAAGTTGTAATCAACTTTGAAGATACCAAAGAACTTTCACTAATAACCTTTCTTTATTCACTTGTTGATTTATAAGAATTAGATTCCTAATTTGTCCACCTCTTATGATAGTTTCATCAGTATGCGTATCCTATCTGAGGATGATTCTTACCCATTATTCACATATTATTTTAAAATATCACAATTTAAAAAAGAACCATTTTAAAATGAAATATTTGATAAGATAGCACTTTATAAGGAATTTCATGAATACATGTATAATAGAAAAAGAACCTTATTCTTTTTCAACAAGGGTGGATGATAAATATACATATTAAAATTTGATATATTTTCTAGGGTGGTGATTTAAAGATATAGACAGTTACATGTTGTGGGTTTTAACACATTGTGTTTCTGTTCCACTATATAAATGAGATAAATTAGTACAAGAAAGTCACAAAAGCTAGAGTAATATAATAATACTACAGCTTCTATCCTATTCTAGCATATTTTTAACCTATAGTATTATTAAAATGTATATATTATATTATTTGTGAGTGGTTGAAATTGCATTATTATACTTAATTTGTTATTGAATACAACCAAGCCAAGCACAGAACAGAGAGAGGAGGTCTTCATTCGAAGGTAACGAATTCTAAAATTTTAAATTTAAGTGTGATTAGCGTGGATAATAATTTTACATTAAATAGAAAATGGTAACTTAAATATTTATAAGTAGAAGAAATTACATCTTTATTATTTTAGGGTCTGTTTGGTTCAAATGAGGGGAGGGGAGGGAAGAAATTTTAATGAAGAGGAGGGGAGGGGAGGTGAGTGATTTTTTTAATGTTTGGTTCAAAAGAGAGGAGGGGAGGGGAGGGGAAGAGAGAGATTTTAATTAAAAATGTGTCTGGTTCAGAAGGGGAGGGGAGAAGTTTTATTAATAATTTACATTTTTATCCTTATGATCTTATATAAATCATATGATATTAAAATGTGAAAAATTCATTTGTATTTTTGTTGGTAATAAAATTTCTAATATTGAGTAATTAAAAAAGTATTATTTATCACATAAAATTAAAAAATTGAGTACAATTGATTCCACTTATAACTTTCCAACATAAATTAAACTATATGTCAATAACATCGTTTAAATTGTTAAGAATCATATAACAAAACAAATATATAAAATAACTTATTATTAAATATTAATTAGTTCAAAATATTTAATAAAATAAATAAACAAAAATAAATAAAATGAATGGTTTATCATTTGATATAAAAGAAAATATGATAGAATACATAACAAAATTAAAAGAAAAAACGAATATAACTAAACATAATTTTTTTTTTATAAAAAAAAGACAATGATTATGATTTATATTAAGTATAGAAATTATAAAATAATTTGAAGGTGGAGAACAATTATAATAAGTTGATGGAAACAATCGAGAAAAAATAATAACACGAAAGAAAACGAATAGTTTTGAAATACTGAAATTAAACTGAGGATATTTTAGTAAATATAATAATTTTTAAATATCAAAAATTCATATTCCCTTCCCCTCCCTTCCAAATCCTCCAATTCGGAGAAAACCAAAAAGTGTGTTTTGGAGGGATTTTGCTCCCCTCCCCTCCTAAGATTTGAACCAAACATATTTAATTAAAAATTTCTCCTCCCTTCCCCTCCTCTCCCCTCCATCTACCCCGAACCAAACACACTCTTAAAGTTTTGAGTATTGATTAGTGGAAGAACTCTGAAAATCTTCCCTAAGTGATATCATGAGCCTTTAATTCAAATGGCGGACTGACTCATTTATATCGAAAATACTCCTCACAAGTGGTGGTTAGGATGTCTTTCGTTGAAGAGTGTCAATGACGGTACAAGAGGGGACGTGGAAGTATTGCTCACTTTGAACAATCATTCATTTTCTTAGAAATAATTAATAAGAAGAGAAAATATTTTAAATCTAATTTAATTTTAATAATTATGAGATGGTGGTGATAGTGAAGGAGTGAGAAAAAAATTATTTAATTAAAAAGATTTTAATTAATTATTTGTAAAGTTAGGGTTATTTGTTTTTATGCAATTTTTTTTTAGTATTATTGGTTCCTCACTTCCACAAAGTGTTCTTACTTTTTTAGTTATTCTTCGATCATAATATTATGTTATCTTTTTTAATTATACATTTGTAGCATCTTTGTCAAACTCTTTTGTCATATTTTATTTCCCATTTTGTAAGATTCTTTTCAGATTACGTTTTTTTTCTCACAGAAACAATACTAATTAAACGAATAGAATTTAAAAAATAATTATTTCAATCTTTTAATAATTGAAGGGTAATTTTTGAAAGAAAGTTTATATTATTGATAAACCTTAGGTTGAGTTTCACTAGATGATAATAATGTTTTTATATGTCAATAGTCTTCTATAAAAAAATTAAGAAATGAAGTTTAATACATTTATATCAATATCTTGAGATTATTAATATATGCAGTTAACTATTATACATTAGTACTATTCTTAAAATTTGTAAATTGAAGATTGCTCTGCTTATTAAATAATTAAGTTAATGTTGATAAGGTTGTAAAATACCCAATTATTCGTTCATACTTTAGTGCGGTTATTATTACCAAGAAGAAATTTCTCTGTCTAACCAAATTAGTGTATATGAATGTTTGTTTCTTATGGTGATTACAAATTTCATGGCAACCGAACCTGTCCGTATATTTTAGGCAGGTAAAAAGAACTTGCCTTGTTTTGTCCTGTATTTTTGCAAATTTTTGTATACACGAAAATTTATATAAAAATTTGAATTTTTAATTATAAAAGATGCAGTGTCTATAAGCTTTCTCTGTTACATCTATTTTTTTTCTATCCTATCTAAATTTTAGATCCGCATCCTCGATTATAACCACTCTGCTTCATTTCGTCTTTTTTGTAGGAGTTTGTGGATTGACCTAAATGTAAATTTTATTTTAATTGAAGCTTTAAAATAAATTATAACAAAATGTTGTTATTAGATATTTGAACTCTAAACTAACCGTTTATATTTATTTAATTTAATTAACTATTTTATTGAAAGTGATTTGCGATTCCAAATTTTTATAATTGCATTCAAATAATATATAATTAAAAAAGACGTAAGGTGACAAAATTTAGGATAGTGGCCGGTAGCTACAACACGGTTTGCGTCAAAGCGGTGAGCAGCCAATTCATCATAGTTACACGTATTGCTGTGTTTCATATTTTTCTTCTTTTCTATCAAATTTTTGGAATTAATCGTTTATGAAAAACCGAATCTTATCCAATTAGGTTAGGTTGGCACTATACATCAGGATTAGGAATAATTTTAGGCTCATTTTAAACTCAAAAGTTTAATTAGGCTTTCATATTAATTATTTCAATAGTTTTTTTTCTTACAACCATCTTATGAAATTTAAATTGCAACCTTTAAAATTACTAGGTCAAATTTTACTATATTACTTTAAAGCTTAAAATTAAATTACTTTTTCTATTAATAGGTGCTACTTTTTTTCATGTAGTACCACTCTTCCTATCTCTCTCCATTGACACACTGATTGAGTTGGATCCGATTTGTTCTAACTCGTTTAAATTTTAATAATTTGAATTTGTCGTTTCATCCGTAATTTTTTTTGTCAAAATGGATTCGAATCATTTTATTCATTTTTGAATTTGATGATTTGCAGGTTGTGTTTTAAATGAAAAATATATTTTTTTATGATTTTTTTTGTCAGTATAAAGAAAATGTAACTAAACTCAAGACAATTATATTTATTTATAATATTCAAATTCGATAAAATACATTAATATAATATTTAATAAAATTCATCAACATATTATTGGTGGAGAATATTTTTGTTTTCAATTATAGTTATCAGTGAGATATTAATTTTATATTTATATTGAAAATAAAAAATAATAATAATAATAATAATAATAATAATAATAATAATAATAATAATAATAATAATAATAAATTACTTAAATTATGTGAATAGATTGAGTCAATGAGTTTGTGGATTACAAAACTCAAATTTAATACCCAACCTAAAATTATACAAATTGTTATGAGTTTATCTATAAATAAATGAGTTCGAATAATTTATAAATTAATTTGATTTAAATCGAAACGTACGAAATTTAGTAAATATCGTAAAGGCAGATGTAGTAGGGATTGCAAACTAGATAGAACAAAACTAAGTTTTGGAAGATATGACACTCAAAGTTGTAGAGCTGGTCGTCTTTCATATCGAGCCATTGAAGCAGCGCGTCGGGCTATAATCGGGCACCTCCATCGTGCTATGAGCGGACAAATGGATTCGTAGGTCAATCCGTATCATGAACACCCTAAGCACACTATTTCATAAAAAATATTATTTTATTCTCAAAAGCTTCAATTATTATTGTTTTGTATGCTTGTTTGGTTGAATCTATGTAAAACAAAAATTTTGAAAATGATATCGTTTGACTCATCAGAACAAGTGTCAACAAATAACTTTCATAAGTCTTGGTCTTAAAGTAGCACGTGTGTCTGTCCAAAATATTTTCATGAAAAAATTCTAACACAATTTTTCTTCCTCATTCACTTATTTATACCCCACAGGCACCGCTTCATTTCAAACCACAACACAACTTCGAAAATCTTTGACTTCAAATAACACTACCAACTCTTATATTTTTTGTCACAATTTGTGCAAGAATTTGGATTCATAGACATTATTAGCTAAGAGTTTTGAAGCTGAACTCTAATCTGTGTTGTTGTGATCATAATTATTATAAGATGACTATGGCAAAGGGTAGCAACAATAATCATCAGCAACAATCATTAGAAGTTTCTATTGATGCTGCTGATTCCAAGTTTTTTGATGATGATGGTCATTCAAAACGATCAGGTAATCCATTTTTAATCTCTTGTACTAATATACGCTGTGTCTGTGTTAGTAATAATAACACGTGTCGGACACCAGACACATTTTTATTCAGAGATTTTGATACCGAGCGACTCAATCTTGTGTTTTGTTGCATAAAAACAGGAAACAAATGGACTGCAAGTGCACACATAATTACAGCGGTTATTGGTTCTGGAGTGTTGTCGTTGGCATGGGCTATAGCTCAACTTGGATGGATTGCTGGTCCATCAATGATGCTTCTATTCTCATTTGTTACTTACTATGCCTCCACTCTTTTATCGGTTTGTTACCGTACCGGTGACCAACTCAACGGCAAAAGAAACTACACTTACACTGATGCCGTTAGAGCATATCTTGGTGGCTATAAGGTTAAAATGTGTGGACTTGTTCAATATGCTAATCTTTTTGGTGTTTCCATTGGATACACTATAGCAGCTTCCATAAGCATGATGTAAGTATTCAATTAATTAACTAGAAGTGGCAAAGTTCAAAGATTTGTTATTATGAAACTGTGATAATTGGTGTTTTTTGGTTCAATATAATTGCAGGGCAATTAAGAGGTCCAATTGTTTTCATAGCAGTGGAGGGAAAAATCCATGCCATATGAATGGAAATCTTTACATGATTTCTTTTGGTGTTGTGCAAATACTTTTCTCTCAAATTCCGGACTTTGATCAACTATGGTGGCTCTCTACTTTAGCCGCAGTTATGTCTTTTACATATTCAGCAATTGGTCTTGGCCTTGGTGTTGGTAAAGTTATAGGTATGAATCATTCTATTAGTTTTTCTTTTCTTTTACAAAAATTCATTTGAAAGTGTTTTAAAAATCGAATTGAACATGTTACAGAAAACAACGGCATTAAAGGAAGTCTAACTGGTATAACAGTTGGTACCGTCACACAAACCCAAAAAGTTTGGAGGAGCTTCCAAGCTCTTGGTAACATAGCTTTTGCATATTCCTACTCGATGATCCTCATTGAAATTCAGGTAAAATTCTGAAACTCGTGATGATATTAACAGTAACATTTTCTTAAATTTAAGTCTCAAATTTATTATGTTATTTGAAACAGGACACAATCAAATCCCCTCCAACAGAGTCAAAAACAATGAAAGCAGCTACTTTGATCAGTGTTATAGTCACAACATTTTTCTACATGCTATGCGGTTGCTTCGGATACGCGGCTTTCGGAGACATGAGTCCCGGAAACCTACTCACCGGTTTCGGTTTCTATAATCCTTTCTGGTTACTCGACATAGCCAATGCCGCGATTGTCATCCACCTCGTTGGCGCTTTCCAGGTTTATTGCCAACCTATTTACTCAGCAGTGGAGAAAACCGCAGCCAAAAGATTCCCAGATAACGATTTCATCAACAAAGACATTGAGATTCCGATCCCCGGAATGGTCTCGCCTTTGAAAATCAACCTCTTCAGATTAGTCTGGAGGTCATCTTTTGTGATCGTCGTAACCGTAATATCAATGCTTCTACCGTTCTTCAACGACATTGTAGGACTTATCGGAGCAATTGGATTTTGGCCTCTTACGGTCTATTTTCCGGTGGAAATGTACATAGTTCAAATGAAAATACCAAAATGGAGCACAAAATGGATTTGTCTACACATGCTTAGTGCTGCTTGTCTTGTGATTTCTTTAGCTGCTGCAGCTGGTTCTGTTGCTGGAATTGTTGCTGATCTTGGAGTTTACAAGCCATTTCATGCTATGTATTAGATATGTTGTTATTTTCGGGTGTGTTTGGTTCGGGGTAGAGAGTGGTGGTGTTGTTAATGTTGTTTTTTTTTCTTCTACTTTTATGTAACCTATCTTTGTAGCTTAATATGTATTACAAATTTCCAATGAGAAATGGTACAAAGGCTTTCATAATTTCTTACAACTTTTTGTTTGTCCAAAAGTATAGTTTTGAATGATATGGCTTTTTAGTGGAGAGGAAATAAACTTTTACTTTCCGTACGAAATTCAATACCGACTTCAATTTATGTAACTTAACTTTTGTTAAATAATTAGTCAAGTTTGAAGATTCCTAGAAGGTGGTAGTTATTAATGAATTATGAAATGAAAAATACAAAAAATGAAAGAAGTGTTTGGAGTATGGGGCCACGACAAATATGAACCATTGAAAGTGTAAAATGTAACTAAGTGGTAGAAAAATCACGTTGATGTTAAATAATCTATAGAACGCCATTCATCGACTCAAATTTGTAATGAAACATGAATGTTACTTAGAGCCAACAAGACGTCTCTAAAGTGACCCTCTTATCCCATAATTGTTTATAAGGACTTCGATAAAGATAAAGATAAAGATGAATGAATCAATATAGTAGTATAGATTTAGCTTCTATCTACATAAAATTTCAAATGCACGTGACAAAATGGAAAAGATAACCAATAAAATTGCCCAGTGTTTAAATAGAAATATATGGAGGTCGAATGAGATTGGGTTCTCGTACGGTAGAGTGATTTTTTTTTTATAAGTCAGTAGATTTATAAAATTAACACTTCAACTTTTAAATTAATGAATAAATAAAAAAATATATTTAAATGAGTAAATGAGTGAATATGTTAAATGATGCATAAGGAGGTTGTTGGGGCTGTAATTTGGGATCTTAATAAGATGGAGCATTTTATTTTGGTGTCATTCTTGTTGGAAATTCTTTCACTTCTTATGAAGAATTTCCTTCAATTTTGATCTCAAGATTGATGAATAAACCCACAATATGATAGTAATTGTAATAACAAGTATTATCAAAAACAACAAAAGAAAGAAGAATACACAAACAAAAGAGAAGAATTAGAGAAGAAATATTCGGAGAAAATTGTTACTCACAAACTGTGGGATTCTTATTGAACTTTCACTTGCTAACTGCAGCTGTGAAATCTGTTCTGTTGTTGTGTTATAGAATACAAAGCAAGGCACCCTATTTATAGTTTTAGGTTTACACTAGCCCAAACATAAAAGGCTCAAAATATTAAAAACAAATCTAATCATATCAAATCAAATCTATTTACACAATTAATTATATTTAACAATCTTATGATATGAGTAAGACATTTTTTTTGTAAGATACACATCATATATTCACCCCAAATATTAAGGTGATGGCTACGTGAGTTCTCCCATTTATAAAATCTTAAGTTTTCACATTTCTAACTAATGTGAGACTTTCTCACACTTTTCAAAACTCCTCTCCATGTGGTCTATATATTCACAATACTCCCCCTTAAGTGCAAACTATTTTATCCAACACTACTCACACTTTTCAACACTCCTCTCCAATGTGAGTCTATATTTCACAATACTCCCCCTTAAGTGCAAACTATTTTATCCACATACATTTTCAACGGGACACCTCTTATCCATTAGAGAATTTCGATACAAACACGAGAGAAATTTTATTTTGGGGTCTTTCTTTTATATAAGCAACACAACTTTGTGAGAGACACGCCAAATACTCACCAAAAACCTTAAGGTAATAGATGTGTGAGTTCTCCCACTTATAAATGCGCAAATTTACATATTTTTAACCAATGTGAGACTTTCTCAAATTATTCATAGTTGTAATTCTTTTTCAACCGAGCTTATATTAGTGGTTAGAGTCGTCCATGTGTGATTTGTCACCACATGCGATAGGCGACTTATTATATCTAATTGTGGTGAGTGTTCTCAATCATCATGTTTTGACGCGCACATTCTTCAATTGAATCTCCACTTGAGCTTTAATGTTCTTGAACGTATGATCATCCCGGAACAAAATTATTTTAAAATTTAAATTAAAAAAGTAAAACGGTATTTATTTTAAGAAAAATGAATTAAGAAATAAGAGATTAATAATTTTATAAGAAAAATAACAAAATTTATTAGTTATTTAATAGTAGTATACATGGAAAATGGTAATTGACAAATTATAATAATAAAAAGGTACCTAAAGACATTAAAATTTAAAAGAGATTAAATATTATATTAATTTAATTATGTTATATAAAATCTCATTAAGTATTTATATTAATTTAATTATATTATATGGAATCTCGTTAAGACAACTTGATTAATAATTATTCTGAAATATATAAGGTTATTCACTTTTTTAACTAGTGAATTTCAGTTATTAAATTATTTGATTAAAAAAATTATGCTAATAATAGAAACTAATAATCAGCTTAGGTGTGGCGGGAAAGAGTCTCTAGTGGAGTGGTGATTTGGCTATGAGAATTGTGGTAATTGTAGGTAGTGGCCTTCACCACATATAGTACTTAATTAGGGTCAAATTATCATGAGTGTTGTGGGTTAGTGCATAATAATAGTAATGGTTGAGATTTCTCGAGCTCGCGTATCTTTCATTTTTGACTATAAACAGCGCATAATAAAGTAATGTTCTTTTGTGTTCATATATACAATTATTTAACCTGTAATGGAGAATCAGAGAAGGATTCCAAAAGCAAGGAAAGAAGGATTCCATGCTTGAAATACAATTATATTCCACTCTAATGTGATGATTTGCATAAAAGACAAATATATAGAATAATATTTTGGACTACATGCAAAAAAATTATATATTTCTTATATGTTTTTTTTAATATTACGCAAAAATATAAAAATGTTTTCAGTTTTTTAAAAATGCATATTCGAATAAATGTAATATACACCAACGTAGACAATTTTGAGTGGCATCTTATAATTTAGTTTTTTAAAGATGAAGATGCATCTTTGAAATTTTTTAAAAATATATTTTTAATTGACCAGGTCAATGAAAATTCCGGAGATACATCTTCAGAAGTTTGGGCGGGATATTTTCAGAAATGCATCTTCAGAAGTTTGGGCGGAATAGTTTTAGAAATGCATTTTCGGAATAATCTGGTAAAATAAACAATTGCGTGATCATAACAACCATTTTTGTATTCTTTACAAAGTCTTACCCAAAAACCCTTCTATTCTCAATCCACATTTCCCTCCAAATCTCTGATATTGTGGTTCATCAAACCAAAGAGAGTAAAAGAAGATAGAATTTCAGGTAAAGATTATTGATTTCATGTTGCATTGCTCACATTAATCATATTTGTTGTCTGAAAAAATAAGCGTTTTTTATGGAATGTATCTTCGAAACGAGTATGAATTTTTCTGGAAATGTATTTCGGAACCAGACTGTGTTCATTTTCCAATTCAATTTTCAGTAGTAATGCTTATTTGCTGTTATGTGGTAATTGTTTTCATTAGATATGATGTACCCCGATGTTTTCTCCAAACAAGTTGTTTCTCCGAATGTCAAAAGTCTTGTTGTGAAGACGGTAAATGTTGGCAATCAATTTAAAAACGAGCAAGAGTTTGAATCTTGTAATTAAATGCTTCAATGGATTCGTATGGAAACCTCTACACTTGGATTTGATGTGGTTATTGAAGGTCTGATAATGGTTCGGATAGAAGATGCGCTTTTATGAAAATGATGTGCGAAAGATGTGGGAAATACATACCACCTCTCCATAATTTTAAAAGAGACGACACTGGTTCAAGAAATGTGAGTGTTCCTTTAAGATGAATGGTTACATGTTGACGAACAAATACTGGAGATTTAATGTCATATGTGGTTTGCATAACCATGATTTGTGTGAAAGGTTAGCTTGTCATCCTAGTGTGTGTCGGCTCATGCCGGAAGAGAAGGAATGTGTTGCTGACATGATATTGAATTTAGTTCAACCGAAAAATCTTACTTGCAACATTGAAACGGAAAAGACCCAAAAAATCAAATGTCAAGCAAGTGTATAATATTCGGTAACAAGTTAACAAGGTGCTTAGGGATGATAGAAATGAAATGCAATAACTCTTGAAACCTGTTGGATGATAACGGTTACTTATCTAGATACCGAACGTGTGAGGATAAAAGTTACTATTAGAGATATATTTTGGACTCGTCCTGATTCCATAAAATCTGTTCAACACATTTTCTACTATGCTCATACTTATTCAACCTACCCAAGACCAACAGTACCAACAAGTTCTAAGCTTAAGTATCTGAGTTGGTGTTACCTAAACTGAGAAGACATATTCTGTTGGATTTGCATTTCTAGAGAGTGAAGAAAAGGAGAATGTTACTGGGCCTTAGAGGTGTGTTGGGCACTGTTAAAGAACCAAGAAGAGATGCCTAAAGTGATTGTTACTAACTGCGATATTGCCTCGATGAATTCGGTTACAAAGGTATTTCGTACTCTTATGAATTACTTTGTATGTATCCACATAACAAAGATATGATTAGTTGGGTTAAACCCGCGGTAAGGATGAAATAGTTAGAGTCCGAAGATGGAAAAATGGTGAAGGCATGTGTGGTTGTGGAAAAAATAATAGATCGCATGGAATCGTATAGTAAATTCTTCCACTAAAGAATTGTATGTCGATTCCGTTATGCATTTTAAGAAAGTGTGTGAAAAGTATCTTGATTTGTTGAAATCACAATTCTTGACCAGCTGAAGGAGAAAATTGTGTATGCTTCGACTGATCAAGTAAGACACCATGGAAACAACAACTAATCGAGTTGAGTATGTCCATGTTACATTGAAGATTCTGGTTGAGAAATAGTAAGGCGATTTGTGTAGAGATTGCGACTCCGTTGAACCAAATGATTCAAACCAGCATAATGAGGATACAAACATCATTTGGTCGGATCATTACAACTTTGGAACACAGATTTAAGGACAACAATCTTTATTCTCAGTTGGTTGGCAAC